TAGGCGTTTTAAAATCTTTTACGGATTTGGCTATATCCTAATGCGGAAATAAACTAAGCGGATACTTTTCAATCACAAATCCTAAATATACTAGTCTCACTAAGTGCACCAACAACTTAGCATAAACAAGATGGGAACAACGAGGATATGAGTAAGCACAAGTAAGCACACAAACTTACTCAATGTATATCACGTGATATGGAAATGAATAATACACACAACCACAAGTAAGCAATACAAGCTTACACAAATTGTATCACAATATATGGGATTGAATGATACAAGCAAACTCAAGTAAGTTACACAAACTTACTTGAGCAATATCGCAATATATGGAAGTGTATGACACAAGTTAGCAATTCACACTAATCACAAAGTATATGTAGTAGCAAGTATGAATTGTGGATTATGAAGTGTAGGCCTAAATAATCTCTACAAGGAAATGGCCAACACAATATAATGAACCACCACAATATAATGAGGACAACAAGATATAGTGAATGCACGGTCAAATGACCAAAGTAAACCACAAGTAAGGAGTTAGGGTTAGGGATAACCAAAGTCACGGAGACGAGGATGTATCCCGATGTTCACTTCCTTGGAGGGAAGCTAGTCACCGTTAGAGAGGTGGATGTTACCACAAAGGCACACCAACGCCACGAAGGCTCACCCTATTCTCCTTGAGATTTCACCACGAAGGCGATTCCCAACCACTAGTGGTAGACCTTGAGGCGGCCTCCAAACCTTCACAAACTTTCCGGGGGACAAATCACAAGTTGATTCCTCACCGGAGCACTCCTACCGCCTAGGAGTCTCCAACCTCCAAGAGTAACAAGATCAAGGGGGAAATACTCAAGACTTGCTCAAATCACAAATTGCTTTGGTCAAAAGAGAGAGGAGGAGTGGTTCTATGCTTTGATGAAATCTCTCTCAAGAACTCTCACAAATCTCTTCGGGGTGTAGCACGAGAAGGCTCAAATCCGTCTCTCTCAAATCCCACCAAAAGCAACTAATGCTATGGAGGGATGGGAGAGGAGAGGAACAATGGAGGAGGTCAACCAATGAACCCTAAATCCATGGGATAGTTTCCCCCCAAATGGATTGGAGTTTTGAGGCTTGGGGGATGAGGATAGAGCTCAAAAGAATGGGGAAATCTCAGATCCAAAAGCCCTAACTCGATGGGGAAGAAGGGTGCCTTATATAGTGCCCCACCAAATCTGCCCGTTACACACAGAGAAATGCAGCCCGGAACTTCTGGGCAAGCCCGGAACTTCCGGGCCCCCTATTAGACACATATGTGCAAACTTTCTGGTTAGCCCGGAACTTGGCCCGGAATTTGCCCGGAACTTCTGGCCCCCGAAACTTCCGGGAGTCCCGGAACTTCCGGGCTCCCTTTGGACCAGATATGTGCAAACTCTCTGGTTAACCCGGAACTTTCCCCGGAACTTCTGGGCTGCCCGGAACTTCCGTCCCCGCAGAAAACAACCAACATACCGAAAGTAAAACATGCATAACTTTTTCATACGAACTCCGATTTTGATGATCTTGGGCTCGTTTTGAAGCTATGGAAAAACCCCAGGTCCTCACATAGAGAACCATCCAAGATCAACCAAAATGGAGGATGCCAAATATGCAAAGGTGTTATCATATATTTGGGAAACCTATTTGGCTTTGGATTTTGTTTGGTATATAGGATAGGAGTGGAATTGTGTAAAGAAGATGTTGACTTGAGAAAATCCATCACAAACCCCTTTGATCCCCTCTTAATAGCGCGGGGTCCCTATAACTCAAGAATCATAAAAGAGCTACACTACATAGCTATCGAGAATCCATTCTTGAGTGTATATGTTTCTTTTTGGTGGTCATCACTCCACAACACTAACGTCAAAGGAACTAATACCTTTGACACGAGCCGTTCACTTGAGCTTGATATTGATGTTTCTTCTTGGCTCAAGATGAAGGCAAGACATTGGTGAAGTCTTCAAGTCTCTCCCCCATACACAATGTGGGGAAGCTTTGCTTTGTATTCATCTTCACTTGTCCATCATGTGATCATCCACAAGCTTCAAGCATGTAATCCTTTGGGATGGTTATCTTGAACTTGCCCTTGTCAACCATGATCACCAATACTTGATGTCATCCTCTCATAGACACTTGAAATCTCTTTCTCGATGCGAGCCCATGAGAATCACCTAACCTTTCACTCGTGTGTTGACCATTTAGAGTTTGATCTTCGAGCTTCATCTTGGTCAACCTATATCTCTAATCCATGTTTAATCTTGACGTCTTGAAGGGTATATTGAATTCTTCACTTGAATAGCTTGCTTGAATACTTGATCAATCATGACTCACACATGAGTCCATTATGATCATATCTCTGAGCCACTCCTTAAGATACTCCAATGAACTTCATTTTGATCATCTCAATGTAATTGTTGCTTCAAAGGAGTTGTCTTCCATTATTCTTCAATCATATTCCAATGGGACTAACCTTCAAATATATATCTCAATGCAAACATTAGTCCATAAGGATTATCATTAATTACCAAAACCACACATGGGGACTACATGTACTTTCACCCGTGACTAACTCCTTAGTCACATTGAGCTCATTATGATGATGCATTACCGAGTGGGCCCAGAGATACCTCTCCTTCATACGGAGTGACAAAATCCCAGTCTTGATTCGTGCCAACCCAATAGACACTTTCGGAGATACCTATAGTGCACCTTTATAGTCACCCAGTTACGTTGTGACGTTTGACACACCCAAAGCATTCCTACGGTATCCGGGAGTTGGACAATCTCATGGTCTAAGGAAAGATACTTGACATTATAAAAGCTCTAGCAAACGAACTACACGATCTTGTGCTATGCTTATTGGGTCTTGTCCATCACATCATTCTCCTAATGATGTGATCTCGTTATCAATGACATCCAATGTCCATGGTCAGGAAACTATAACCATCTATTGATCAACGAGCTAGTCAACTAGAGGCTCACTAGGGACATGTTGTGGTCTATGTATTCACATGTATTACGGTTTCCGGTTAATACAATTATAGCATGAACAATAGACAATTATCGTGAACAAGGAAGTATAATAATAACCATTTTATTATTGCATGTAGGGCATATTTCCAACAACGTTGACTATTCCACCCTGGCTCACACCTACAAAGGGTCCATGAACAAGTTACTTTCTATCCCAGCCATGGTTTACCCCCGCGAAGGGCTAGCCTTACTCGAGTAGATCTTCACGAAACATGCAATCTTCTTGCCTTAACAAACTTCTTGGTTTCTGCACACGACTTCGAGACTCTCAAGCACACCTATCCAAACTAGGAAGCATCACCCTTTAAACGGTAATAGATGGTGTTTGCTGATGATAAACTCCTTACTCTTGTACTTCAAATGATAATCTCCTCAACAGTCGAACGCTCTCTCACATATTTTGGCTTTTTGGTATAAGAGGATCTGGGTGGAAAATAATGAGATGACTGGAAATAAAGAATTAATCTTTGGAGTGGAATCCCTTTGAAATCAACACAAGGAGTGAGAACTCTCTCTCAGCAATATGGATGTGTAATGTGTTTGCTTCGAGAGGCAATGTCGAAGCGGGTGGAGGTATATATAGGCAACAAAAAAATATGATCGTCGCTCACCTTTTAGCACATCTTGGTGAGATGGACTGAAACACTTAGTCAGATCGAACAATACAGAAGATTCAAATTTAAGACACTTCGGTGACTCCGGATGAAACTGTTCAGTGGCTCCTAGTTGTGATCACCTAAGCACTTTCCAAACTTCAATATCACCGACTGAGACTGTCGTACATTCCAAACAAATTTTAGTAGGCAACAGAAGATTGGCAAGAGTTGTTCAGTGAGATCGAATGGTCGAATTGGTGAGACCGGAAGTCTAGGGTTCGTTGAGTCTGAGTTGAACATTTGGTTTGTGATATAGTGAAATTTTGGGAATTCGTCTAAGGCTTTTGGAGTTTCAGCATTTGAGCAATGAACTCAACATCTCATCGTCATACCCTTTTGAAAGTATAATTTGTCTAAGGCTTTTGGAGTTTGAGCACTTGACAAATGAACTCAACATCTCAACGCCATACCCTTTTGATAGTATTGACATATTTATGGATTCAATGTGATCTTTGATCACAAAAATAGAAATGCATGCTCGAGGCTTGATCCAATACTTGTCTTTTAGCATATTGAGATGATGAGTTCATTTGATCATATGTAGCTTTTTTTATCATATGTAGTTTGTGTGTATGGATCTGATGCGGCTATATTCATGTGTAACGCTTGACAAGGTACTACCTCCGTCCTGGTTTATTGGTCTTTATTGTAATCTGTGACAAATTTTGATCACAAATTTAATTAACAAAATGTTCATGCATATCATTAATATTATATCACTGAAAACTATGTTCAAATACGAATCCAACGACATAATTTTTGTTGACATGCACTAACATTTTATCAGTCAAATCTTTGGCCAAAATTTAGCACAAATTACAAAGGGGACTAATAAACCAGGACGAAGGTAGTACAAAGGTAATGCAGATTCTGTGTAATGATTTTTTTTTTGGTTTTTGCAAGCATAATTATGTGTAATGATTTGTTTTTTCAAAATTCATTACGGATCCTTAGAAAATTTGATGTTTGCAAAATTTGGTTTTTTTTTGAGACAAACAAAATTTGATGTTTGCAAAGTTTTTAACAAGGAGTGATGTCTTGCAAGTAAAATTCGGAAACTGCATTCTGGTCCGTTCTGCGGGCCTTTATAACGGACTGCTTGGGCCATGCTACTGCTACTTGCCCGCAGAGTTTATGCGTAGGAGACCCGCGTATGGCGCAGTCAGCATACAAAGCTGTCTTCCACTGGAGCAACCGCTAAACCCTCTCGAAACGAAAGAATCCCCAAATCTCGCACGCTCCAAAGGCCCGAAACCCTAGCTCCCTGCTTTCATCCCCGCCACCGTCCCCATGGCGCCAGGGCTCAAACGCTTCACCGACGTCGCCGGAGACGGCACGCCCCGCCTCGACGACGCCGCCGGCGAGGAGCTCATGTGCGTGGAGCGCGCCGCCTCGGTCGCCCTCGGCAGCCGCGCGCCGGAGCCCCCGGGAACCCTCTTCATCACCACCAGGTAGAGAGCGAGCTGATGGATTTCGCGCCCTCCAGCCGCACCGCGGCCGTCTCTTCCGACACCTTACTTTTCTTGCCCGTCTGCGTTTCTGTTCCCAGGAGGGTGATTTGGCTCAGCGAGGCGGAGAAGGGCAAAGGATACGCGGTGGACTTCCTGGACATCACGCTCCACGCAGTGTCGCGCGACCCGGAGGCGTACCCCTCGCCGTGCCTCTACACTCAGGTGATTGAGGGTACAACCCACCCGTTTGAATTTTGTGGTATTGGTGACTAATTTGGAAAACAGTTGATCAGTTGCATTTCATGTTTTAACATTTGTGGCCTGTTTGAAGTTGGGGCTGTACTTGCACTGACCTGGTTCAGTCTTCTGGTCCTGATGTTCTGTTGGTATTTTTTTGCTGTAGTTTGTTTTAGTGGTTGTATTGTTAGTTCGTCTCAGCACACAACACCCATGCCAGGAGGATCATTTGAGCATACAAAGCTTTCTGTTGCCGTTTCTTTTATATTAGTGCCATGTAGCTTGGAGGAACAAGGAGATTTGGGTTGTGCGCAATTTAATGTGGAAGATAAGTCATTTAGTGTAAGATTTGTGCTCATGCAGCATATTTGTTTTGATATTTGATAATTATAGTAACATATCTAGATGTAACATAAAGCATTGTTTGGCACCATTATGCCTTTGGAATGTCACTTGGTTCAGTGGGATGTTAAACATGAGATATCTGATTGGGCTGAATCCTGTGGTTGATCAAATCAGTTACTTAAAACGTAGCCAAGCTCGTATAGTTCTGTGGTTCGAGTGGACTAAATTCCACATCACACGGTTCTTTACTAGGATTTACTCTCTGCAATATGCACATGGACCGCTGGATGCAGCCTTTGTGTCTCTTCTCGATAGCCAGCAGTGACCTGTGTTATCTCTCATTGACTTTGCTATTTGCAGCCTTTGTGTCTCTTCTCTTGATAGCTAGCAGTGACCTGTGTTATATCTCGTTGACTTTGCTATTTGCAGCCTTTGTGTCTCTTTTCTTGATAGTTAGCAGTGACCTGTGTTATCTCTCATTCACTTTGCCATTTGCAGCCCGTTTGTTATTCTGCTGCTAGTGTCTTAGGACTTGCATCAGCCCTAGCGTGTGGATGATTGAAGTTTTGAAAAGAAAACTAGTTTTGTCTGTATGCAAAATAAATCTAGTGTTGGTAAAAACCTAAGTTTGTTACTACATTTATACTGACTTTTGGTCTGTTCTGAATTTGCTCTTTGTGGCCATGTTCAGTGGCTAGCTAGCAATAATCTCCTTTGTTTGAGCGTTATTTGCTCTAATGTGTGATTCCCCTCTTATGTTTATAGATTGAAGCCGAAGCTGACTCTGATGAAGAGGATGGTGATTTTGACTCTGAAGCAAATGGTGACTCACAGCTACCAAAAATCTCTGAGATGCGTATTATACTGGCAGATGCTGCCCAACGTATCCTTCTAAAATTTTTATATATTTTTGCCCATTATGGCTGATGCTTTTATCTTGCAACAATGCCATTTTCTTCTGATTTCATTCTTAATATAAAAACCAGTGGACAGCTTTAGGCTGCCCATTTTTTTCTTTGCAGTGAATTTTCGTTTTTCCACTGTTTACTGTAACAGTGACGCTTTGATTTTCTATTTTTCTAATGACTTGTCAAGTTAAGCAATTAGTTGTAGAGCAGAAATATGGAATTCAAATCTTTCTGTTTTTGCCACTGAAGTTTGACAGTTATGTTTTAAGTTCATTTGCATTGATGAGGAGCACTGCATTCTGATTTTGTTTCCATCATTTCCTATTTTTGGGAAATCAAGACATGAATGTAACCAAGTAGTAATATAGATAAAACTATGTAGTGAACAAGTCATATAGATAAATCTCTTATAATTTTGAAAGCAGTTATGCAAGATAATCAGTTCCTAGGTGCATCATGCAGGTGCAAATTAATAATAAGAGCTCTGTTTTGCAATGGAGTGGTTATGACAATCTCATTGGTTTTGATATTTTGGTGTTTGGTATTTTTTTTTCTGAACTAAGCTGCAAACTGTTATATGTATGTTCCGGATAACAGAAAATGCAGTGTGAATATGAGGAACGAGCATTAGATAACATAATTAGCTCCACAACAGCTTTTAAAATAAGCATCACCCGACATACACTAGCAAGCCCAACTAACACTAAATCTTGGATGTTTCTTTGGATAACTTCATTCAGTTCAAATCACTCGAGCAGGCAAACACTATTCTTGTAACTGAATGCCATAGTGCCCCAGGAGAATAACTTGTAGGCTCGACACTTTATTTAACTCCCTGTACATTTTTGCTGAATTATAAAAGCAGCGTTCACCTTCTCGTTAAAAATTCATGCTTGATATCCTTGACAGAAGTTCAGTAGATTCACTTTTTGATGCCTTCTGCCATTGTGCTGAGCTGAACCCTGATCCTACTGCTGGTAAGTAATTTGAACTGCAGTTAATACTTGAAAATCGATGTTCAGAAGAACTGTACTAAAATGTGTGTGTTCTTTCAAACTCCAGAAGAAAATGAAGATGGTGAGGGTATGACCAATGGTGGTTGGATTCATGGTGATGAAGATGAACACATGGTTGATGGTAAGTTTTCACAGTACATTTTATGTACATTTTCGTCTATTGTCTGAGCATAGCTCTGACTTCTCTTACCTTTCATGCAGGAATCGACCCTGAGTTTTTTATTCCCACCCCGATAGGTCAAAATGGTGGAGATGGCCTCAGTTCTTCAGTACTTGAGGTATGCTTTGACTGGATTGATACTGTTATGTTTTTAATGGCCAATATTTCAGACGAGTATATAAATAAACCAACAGTTGACCATGGTCCGCATTACAGTGCTATATCTCAGTTTAGTTGGTTGCGAAGACAATTAGTAGCATAATTATATAAAGCTCAAGTTACATGGTTCTGAGCACTTGTGTTTAATTAGAATCACTTGTTTATATGGAACTATAGTTCGTTGTTGATTGGGAAGACCGGCATATATTGTATGATCCACATCAGTTCTATGAAATTACTAGCCAAATACCTGTGTTGCTATGGAAGTCGAAAAATACTTGCATTGCTACAAAAAAAAATTATTGCATGAGTTGTTTATGGTTCATCTTAGTCCTTGGCGCAAATAAAAATTATCTTGAGATATAGATTAATTGAATCAACTAAAATGAAAAAATCGTGGTACATCTGTCTACTAAGAATGTATGATAATTGTGGCAATTGATTTGCTGACAACTTAATAGGTAATCTGGGTGAACATACTGCCACCTACTCCAGAGTTTTGTATAAGAGTAAAGATGCGGAAATCCCTTTTGGAGCTCGGGCTCCAGTGAGGCCTCCAGATTCAGATTTGAAATTTCATTGAAATTCGTATTTTTACATTTCAAAAAATTCTGAAAAAAATCACAGATATACATGAAGGCATAATACACATGTGTGTAAATTTTCAGTTCAAAATACATTGAAATGAGGGCTGTGCAAAAAAGACAAATATGGGGCTGTTTAACACATGATACTATTCATCCTCCCAGGCCATGGATTTGTCTTTTTTGTACAGGTCGCAACTCAAGGTATTTCATCATGAATTTTTACACACATGTGAGTTACATCGTTACATACACGCATATTTTTTTTCAGAATTTTTTGAACCATAAAAGTTTGAATTTGAATTTTTTAAAAATAAAGGCCTCCATGGAGCTCGGCCTCCAAAACGCCTTTCTCGTAAAGATGAGCCTATAACTATCTTTGTGCCAGTGATTGGCATCCAACTAATATCGGTGTTATTTATACCCGCAGCTTCAAATCAATGACCAGCGTTTCGAGGATGCGGAGGAAGAGGAGGCCCGTGAAAATGGGCATTAAAGCAGCTATATGCTTGTTCTAGTACTGATCATGTTCCTTGAGAGGACCGTGTTCTTTTTAAAGTTTGGTTGAAGATTACTGTTGGTGCAGCTTGGTTGGCCTCATGCTGTTTCGTCCACACTTTGCTTTTGCACTTTCTAGATGCTATAGGATCGAGGACTCGGGGGCGGCCGTGTAGAGTTGCGTTCGATGGTAACTTATGAGAGAGAAGGTCTTGCTTGCTGGTCAAGAATGTAACTTGTAGAGCTTGGTGGGTATGGAATTGATGGATTTCAATAACTTTTGATCTAACAAATAGAAGCGGGGGATGTGGGGGTAGTAACTCGGTACTCTTTTTGAAAGTGTTCCTCTGCACTGTATCTGAGTGGGTGCAATGTTGTGTGCTTTTGCATTCAAATGTTGTTTGTTGCTGCAGTTCGAACAGCTGAACCATGCTAGCTGCTTGTCACGTATAACTCCAGTTGGCCGCCAATTGTTTTTCAGCTGACGAATTGCTGCAGGACAGTTCAGAAAAAAAAAGGCTTTGCTTGGATCAGTGTAGTTTTTGGTTGGGGTGTTGGACGACCGCGCCCAAAAACCTCAGCCGCGCCCAGGTAAAATAGCAGCGGAGAGAACGCCTCTGCGTCGAGACGGATAGAACAAGCAATGGCGGCAGTTGTGTTCCAGATTGCTAGCTTGGTGTTTTTTTTGAAAGCACAATCATTTTATTTAAACATAAAGCGGAATATCATCAGATACAACATCAAGAATGAACTCAAGCGGCACACCAACCCACACCTGACAGCGTTCTTCCCCAACCCCAAACCCTAGCCAACTTACGAGCGACCGAATTTGCCGAGCGTTGAGCCCATACCACTTTGAAGTCCATGAATTCCCGCAGCAAGGTCTTAATTTCCTCAACCCATGGGCCAACGGACGACAAGTTCTTCACCATAGCCTGGCTGTCGAGCTCCACATGAATCTTTTCTATGTTCCGCTTCCTCTCCGTCTGGATTAGCTTCGGACAAGCCAAAACCTCAGCCCGTTCTGGATCCTCACATTTAGGGAAGAAATAGCAGGCCGCTGCCACGAAACCACCATTGTGGTCACGCAGGACTGCCCCACCACCACCTTTACCCCGCTGTTTCGCCAAAGCTCCATCCGCATTAGCCTTGACCCACTCTTCCTCAGGCACTTCCCATCTCGGAACCGTCCTCGTCGTCGTTGGCCGCATCGGCGCAACATGAGCCTCTCTCCAATGCGACATGGAAGCAGAAACCCGGTCCAGCACCTCATGAGGGGACGCTATTCTCTTACCATCTCTCGCATCGTTCCGTGCCAACCACAATCCATAGGTGCCATGAATCAGTGCCTCCTTCTCCTCGTTCCGTGCCAACCACAATCCAGTCAGCCAATGCTCTTTGGGAATCCAACTGACAAGGCAAGGGGGGGGGGGGATGCCGCCTCAACCCCCTTTTCCGATCGCATGAACCTCCAAAACTGAGCAGAATGATGACAGCCCCAGAAATGGTGGAACAAAGTCTCTTCCCCGCCGCACATCGTACAGAACACGCCAGCCTTGATCCTTCGTCGAAGCAGCTCATGGCCCACAACAAGGCCATTCCGAACCACCTGCCACACATGTATCTTCTTAGCCGGGGCATCTGACTCCCACAACACCATATACCCTTTGTGCTTAACAACAGAATTGGAGGCTTCTAGTCGACCAGAGCGTAGCTTTTTCCTCTCCATACACAGATGATACGCCGAACGGACAGTAAACATTCCATTTCTTGTGAAGTTCCAGACAAGGTAGTCCTCCGTCCCAGGCCCGCCCACATCAATTTGCTTTATATCATGTGCATCATCCTCTAAGAACATAGAGTCCACCTTAGCTTCGTCCCAAGCAGAGCCATCCGACAACAGCAGATCAACCACTCTAGTAATCCTCGGGACAAACAGCTGGCCCAGTGGCCGCATGCACCCAGACCTCGGAATCAAATTATTATGATGAATGTTAACTGTAGACCTGATGCAAACACCAAGCTTGCTTTGCCAACAAGGCTTGGTTGAAAGCCTCCGGGTCCCGAAACCGAAGCCCTCCTTCCTTCTTAGACTCGCACATCTTATTCCATGAGATTCAATGTACCTTCCTCTCACCATTTACTGCTCCCCACTAGAATTTTGACGAGATTGATGTCAGGTTCTGGCACATCTTCTTGGTGACCTAGAAGCAACTCATGGTGTGGGTCGGTGTGGCTTGAAGCGAAGATTTCACCAAAACTTCCCTAGCCTTCTTCGAGAGCCCCTGACCCTTCCAACCACCCACCTTCCCTTTAGAGCTCTCCACGACATGTTTAAAAGCCCCCTCCTTAGACCTCCCCACCCGTGTGGGTAATCCCAAATATTTCTCACTCAGCGCCTCCGATGAGATCCCACTAATCTGCTTGAGCATCATCTTAGTTTCCTCTTGACAACCTTTCCCAAAGAAAATGGATGATTTCTGTAAGTTCATTTTCTGTCTAGAGGCAGCCTCATATCTCTCCAGAATATTCTTCAACACCTCGATGCTCGATTGGGTCCCCTCCAAGAACACTATGATGGCATCTACGAATAAGAGATGAGTCACTTGGGGGCTAGTGCCACCAAAATACACTCCACAGATGGATGCCTCCTCTTGAGCTCGCTTAAGCAGCGTCGAGAAACCCTCCACACAGAAAAGAAACAAGTATGGGGAAAGAGGGTCCCCCTGTCTGAGTCCTCTGGAGGGAACACATTTCCTTGAGAGACCACCATTAAGTTTAACACTAAAACTTGCTGAAGTAACACATCTCATAACCATCCTAATCTACTCGGAAGCAAAGCCAAATTTGCTCATGACTTGCTCCAAGAAAATCCACTCCACCCGGTCATAAGCCTTCATCATATCAAGCTTGATGACACACACTCGTAGGCCACCAAAACATTATCCGTAACTAGTGTCCTCGGAACAAACGCACTCCGCTCCTCCAAGATCAAGAAAGGAAGAATGGTCTTGAGCCAATTAGCAAGCACTTTAGTAGCAATCTTGTACAACACATTACATAGACTGATCGGTCGAAACTGCGAAAGCAACTCCGGTGAGTTAACCTTCGGAATCATCACTATCACCGTAGAATTAAAAGATTTTGGAGTGGCCTCACCCAAGAGAAAGCCACGAACAGCACCACACACATCTTCACTAACCAACAACCAATGCCGTTGGTAGAATAAAGTCGGAAAACCATCCGGTCCCGGCGACTTTGTCGGGCCCATCTGAAAAAGGGCCTCTTCTATTTCCCTATCTGAGATCTGGGAGGTCAACTTTGAATTCATTTCCTCATTTACGAGCTGAGCAATGATGCTAAGAAGTGCTTCAGAACCCGACGAACCCTCTGAGGCAAAAAGATGCGCATAAAATTATGCCACCGTCTCCCGCATTTCCTCATCAACCGTACATCTAGAACCATCGTCTTTTTGAGCGCCCGAACAATATTCTTCCGCCTCCTATGTGAAGCTCTATTTTGGAAGTACTTTGTGTTTTGATCCCCAGCTGTTAGCCAGTCTATGCATGAGCGTTGCCTGTAGAAGATCTCTTCCCACTCGAAAACCTCCCAATTTTGGTCTTCAATCTCCTTGATCTCCGGGCGAGTACCCAGTGGTCGTCGCCCTAGTCTTGGCATCCGTTAGCCGAGCCTTCAGGTCTTTTATTTGCCTCCTTATTGATCCAAACATATCTCGCCCCAGGTCTGCATACTAGTCGATGTCTTCGCCAAATGCTGGCAAAGCGCCTGCAAGCTTCGACCTCCAGTATCAGCCTCCAACTAGGCGGTTGATACGTCTCCAACGTATCTATAATTTTTGATTGTTCCATGCTATTATATTATCTGTTTTGGATGTTTAATGGGCTTTATTATACACTTTTATACTATTTTTGGGACTAACCTATTTACCGGAGGCCCAGTCCAAATTGCTATTTTTTTTGCCTATTTTAGTGTTTCACAGAAAAAGAATATCAAACAGAGTCCAAACGGAATGAAACCTTCGGGAGAGTCGTTTTTGGAACAATCGCAATCCAGGAGACTTGGAGTGGACGTCAAGGAAGCAACGAGGCGGCCAGGAGGCAGGGAGGCGCGCCCGGGGGGTAGGCGCGCCCCCACCCTCGTGGCTCCCCTGACCGACTTCTTTCACCTATATATACTCATATACCCTGAAAACATCTGAGAGCATGACGAAACCCTATTTCCACCGCCGCAACCTTCTGTACCCATGAGATCCCATCTTGGGGTCTTTTCCGGCGCTCCGCCGGAGGGGGAAGCGATCACGGAGGGCTTGTACATCAACACCATAGCCTCTTCGATGAAGTGTGAGTAGTTTACCTCAGACCTTCGGGTCCATAGTTATTAGCTAGATGGCTTCTTCTCTCTCTTTGGATCTCAATACAAAGTTCTCCTCGATCTTCTTGGAGATCTATTCGATGTAATACTTTTTGCGGTGTGTTTGTCGAGATCCGATGAATTGTGGGTTTATGATCAAGATTATCTATGAACAATATTTGAATCTCCTCTGAATTCTTTTATGTATGATTTGTTATCTTTGCAAGTCTCTTCGAATCATCAGTTTGGTTTGGCCTACTAGATTGATCTTTCTTGTAATGGAAGAAGTGCTTAGCTTTGGGTTCAATCTTGCGGTGTCCTTTCCCAGTGACAGCAGGAGAAGCAAGGCATGTATTGTATTGTTGCCATCGAGGATAAAAAGATAGGGTTTATATCATATTGCTTGAGTTTATCCCTCTACATCATGTCATCTTGCCTAATGCGTTACTCTGTTCTTATGAACTTAATACTCTAGATGCATGCTGGATAGCGGTCAATGTGTGGAGTAATAGTAGTAGATGCAGAATCGCTTCGATCTACTTGTCGTGGACGTGATGCCTATATACATGATCATGCCTAGATATTCTCATAACTATGCACTTTTCTATCAATTGCTCGACAGTAATT